GGATTACTTTACTTTTAAAAAGAAGCTAGCAGCCAGGCTCGGTGGCTCAGCCTGTAATCCCGCGCCTTTGGGAGGCTGAGGTGAGTGGATTGCCTGAGCCCATGGGTTCGAGATCCTCCTGGGCAGCGAGACCTCATCTCTACAATAAATCAAAATGAGCCAGGCGTGGTAGCATGCGCCTGTAGTTCCAGCTACTTGGAAGGCTGAGGCCGAAGGATCACCGGAGCCCAGCAGGTCAAGGCTGCGGTGGCCGGGAGCGGCCACTGCACTTCAGTCTGGGTGACAGAGTGAGACTCCAACTCAAAAAAAAAATAAACAAAATAAAAATAAAAAGAAGCTAGCTGTTGTGTGATTTTTTTTTTAATTTGTTTTTTATTTATATTTATATAAATATAAATAACTCCTGGGATTATAGGCTTGAGCCACTCTACTCAGCTTATTGTGTGATTGATGTTTTTTTTATAGCAAGCATAATTCAGACTTTTAACCACAGTATTTAACCTGAAAAAAAAGTATTTTTAAATCAAATGAATCAAATGATCTTGAGTTATATTAAAGCAATTGTTTCATCTTCTCTTTAGACTATAGAGAGTGTTACAAATAACACATAAAATGTGTTACAGACATTTAAAAACGAAAAGGCAAAGTACTCTTTCTTGTTTAAGAAGCAGGTCAAAGAGAAAGGCAAAGAACACCAAGCAGATAGGAGGCAGGGAGCTGGCAGTCCTCCCTTCGATAAAAGAGGCAACTACATGAGGATCCTCTAAAATGTCTGTAGATTTATACAGTAGGGAAATGAACAGGAAGAGGTGAAACCCAGCAAGGCACAGTTTTTCTGCCTTTAGAAACATCCTGCCCAGGCATGGTGGCTCACTCTTGTAATCCCAGCACTTTGGGAGGCTGAGGAGGGCGGATTGTTTGAGCCTAGACGTTGAAGACCATCCTGGGCAACAAAACATCTTGACAAAAAAAAAAAAAAAAAATCAGTCAGGTGTGGTGGCATGTGTCTGTAGTACCAGCTACTTGGGAGACTGAACTGTGACCATGCCACTGTACTCCAACCTGGACAACAGTGAGACCCTGACTCCAAAAAAAAAAAAAAAATCCCTATTCTCAAACTCTCATTATTATTCTTTCTCATTTTTCTCTCCCTTCACAACATTCCTTGACAATTTACCTTTTCTCTTACTTTTTAAGAGTGAGTCCTAAAAAGACCCTGCTTTGAAATTACTATATTTTAGTAGGAGTCTCACTCTGTCACCAAGGCTGGAGTACAGTGGCACACTCGTGGCCACTGCAGCCCCAACCTGCTGGACTCAGGTGATCCTTCCACTACAGCCTTCCAAGTAATTGGAACTATAGGCATGCGCCACCATACCTGGCTAATTTTTTGATTTATTATAGAGACGAGGTCTTGCCAAGTTGCCCAGACTGGTCTCAAAACTCCTGGATTTAGGCAATCCTCTCACGTCTGCCTCCCAAAGTGCTGAGATTACAGATGTGTGCCACTGCGCCCAACCCTTTTATTTTTTTCAATAAAAATTCTTAAGTGTTTCATTTTGGAAAAATTAGAAAACAAAAGCCAGAAAAATGGGGAAATAAAAAAGAAGTCATCTCCCCTGTACAATTCCATCCCAAGTCATAACCACTGGTAACAGCTAAGTAAATATCCTTCTAGTTTTGTCATGTGTGTAGTAAACATTAAGCGTTTATTTTCATACATTTTAATCTGTTGTTTCTCCATATATCTAGAACAGGTGTATTTACATTTTCCATCAGATATTACAGAAGATGGCCCACCCAAGGACAAGAGATCATTGCCACAACTGTCCATTGCTGAAATGGAATCACACGTGTTCTCAGAAAAACTCACTACTGATACTTCTACATTTGAAACTACCTCTGAAGTGGAATGTGCCTTAGAACCGCAGCAGAGAAATTGCAAAGCTGAGAGACTGAGGCGGTCCCCTGCCCTGGGGAAAAGTTTTAGGCAGATGGTTGTCAGCAAAAAGAAAATTCCCACAGGGAAAAAAGACCATGAATGTAGCGAATGTGGTAAAGCCTTCATTTATAATTCACACCTTGTAGTTCACCAGAGAATTCATTCTGGAGAGAAACCCTATAAATGTAGTGACTGTGGAAAAACTTTCAAACAGAGCTCAAACCTCATTCAGCATCAGAGAATTCACACAGGAGAAAAACCCTATGAATGTAGTGAGTGTGGGAAGGCCTTCAGGTGGGTTGCTCATCTTGTTCAACATCAGAGGATTCATTCAGGAGAGAAGCCCTATGAGTGTAATAAGTGTGGGAAGGCCTTCAGTCAAAGCTCATACCTAAGTCAGCATCTGAGAATTCACAGTGGAGAGAAACCTTTTATTTGTAAAGAATGTGGAAAAGCTTACAGATGGTGTTCAGAGCTTATTAGACATCGGAGAGTGCATTCTGGAAAAGATCCTGAAGTTGAGAAAATCTCCAAACAGACTTGTACATTTGTCTAATCTACCTTAGGACTGAATCCCATAAAAGTTAAATACACCTTTAAGATTTTTCCTGTGTCTTTCTTAATTTAGGAAAAACTGTGTGCCTAATCCCACCTGCAGACCATCACTTCACGTTCCTTGATTAAAATGACTATGTCAATTAGGATGCCTTTGGCTGCAAGTCATAGCCAAATTTTGTTGCTTCTCCTTTCCAGCTTGACCTTGGGTAAGATTCTGAGCTGCTTAGTTTGCCTAGCAATAAGATAGGGAAAGTAATGATAGTAATGCTTACTTCATTAGAGTTCTGAGTCTGACAGAACAGCTGCTCAGGCAGTGGTAGTTATATTTTTACTGTGAATGGGTCCTTGTTCCTAGCTCTTTCTCAGACACATACTGGTCTACCTCCTTGGACAGGGTCACATCTGCAAGTGCCTAGGCTGGAGACAGAAACCACACTAGTACCCTTGGACAAGGAAAGTTTAATATGAAGAAGTATTAACTAGTAAAAAGGGATTATCTGCTAAAAGAAGTAGAGATCTCTAAAGAATATAAGAATAGCAGAATAGGGGAATAGCTGTTACCTCTAGGACTGGGAGAATTCTCAACAAAGAAGCAAACTGAGAACCACCCTAACCAAGATTGAAATTCAGACCTTATTGTACAGGGTGTAGCTGTTTCAGTGGTGTGCAAGAATTGGTCTGTGCAGCCTGGCAAGAGCCAATTTTGCACATCTCTTTCCAAGTCTGCTTTGAAATTAGTCATGGTGGGAGAGTATTTACACCATGGAAATCGATAAAAACGATTCAGGAATGTTTTTGTTTTTGAGCTAGTTGTCAAATATTTGCCAACCAGGTGTGGTGGTGTGTACCTGTAGTCCCAGCTACTCAGGAGGCTGAGGTACTCCAGCCTGGCCAACATAGCAAGCCTGTCTCTAAAAAAAGAAAAAAAAATTATTAACACAACACTGGCTATGGCCCACTAGTTACTGAAGTTCACTGAGATGCTACAGATCAAGGCTGACAAGCAGGAAGTCACTAGTTAAGGTGCCAGTTAAACTCACTACAGGATGGGTGCTGCTGGGTCTCCTGCACACTACTGGACGTTGTGCTGTAAGAATAAGGTGGAAAAAGCCAGAACTAGGAGAAGCCCCTTCCTCTTTGCATCGTCCCTCCAGTACCCTTAACTCACGAAGCCTAACATTGTGCCAGCTGGCAAAGGAGAAACATTCAGATCCAGCTCCGTTACCATGAAGTAGGACAAAGTGGTGGGTTTGGAGCAAGGAGGCAGTAAATAAGTGGCCCATTTTTCAAGTTCATTTCCACGTCATGCTTTCCCCCCAATTGCATGTCATTCCCTCTATCTAGATCTCTTTATAAATGTTTCCTCCTTGAAGAAAACTTTCCTGACTCTAACATACTAGTTTATTTCTCTCTCGTAAATAGGGGAAAACTGGTCAGCCAGCCCAGCGTCCAAATCCAGAGCCAGTTCAAGGCCTGTTTTTTGTGGCCCACAAGCTAAGAATGGTTTTTACACTTTTAAAGTGCTGTAGAAAAATAATATGTGACAGAGACTGTGTGTAGTCTACAAAGCCTAAAATATTTATTATCTGCCCAGCAAAAGTTTGCCAAGCCCTGGTCTAGGAGGCAGCTCAGTTTCACCAGAAATTTCAGGACCCTCTGGACTTTTCATCTCACTTTTCCATTCCTAGGCTAGGATGTTGTTACTGTCTGCAGGGTGGAAACTGGATCATTACCATATGCATGTTCCAGCTCACAGGGAAATCCAATATTCACAAGGACAAGGAATTTCCCTTTCAGTAAGTGTCATGAAAGGTGGCCCATTTATTTGGTAAGAACTTAATTACATGGCCACATCTACCAGGGGGTCTGGAAAACCCTAGAAGGATGGCCATTTGCCCAGGTAAAAAAAAAAATCTGGAAAAAGAATATCATAGCTACTTGGGAAGCTGAAGGGTGAACATCACTTGAGCCCAGAAGTTCAAGGCTGCAGTGAACTATGATCATGCCACTGCACTTCAGCCTGGGTGACAGCAAGACCTCATTTCTATAAATAAACAAATAAGGAGAGAATAAATGAAGACAATAAGCAGTCTTCATGCCATCTATGCAACACAGTGCTTCTGTTTGACCAGGAAAGGAGAGTTCTGGTCTGAGAAAGGGCAAAGCAGGATTCTGGGGAGCAGAGAATGAGGACAAGAGGTCAAGGGTATGGATTAGAGCTCTGGTCTTTGTGGTGGTCACTCCAGAAATGGTCATCATTCTGTCTGCTGTGTCCTGTGTTCAGCATTCTGAGGAGAGCTGAAATCAGAAAAATGTCATAGGCGAAATATTTTGTCCTGAAACCATCTCTTTTGACTTTTTTAGTGTAAAAGAAGCTATGTGCTTAGTTTGATTATGTTACAGGAACTAGTTCCTTATCCTTGGAGCCCTGGGAGTTAAAGGGGCCATACTTGTATAATTGTTCCTATGTGTGTACAATTGCCTTGCTCACATGTGCATTTTGAAATTCACTGATAAGATATTCCCAGCTCTGCAAATGAATAAGCAAAAGAACCTGAACCTACTAACAAGATTGTGATATTTTGTTCACATAGGAGACAAAGGAAGGAACAGATTGTTCTGGTCTTAGGAAGCTAATGGGCAACGGGGGTGCCATATAAACATCCTAAATAGAGATTTCACAACAAATACATTGTAATGGATACTGGTAAGTGAATGCCCAGGTGCTTTAAGGACAGAGACCAGCTGGGCTCGGTGGCTCAGCCTGTAATCCCGTGCTTTGGGAGGCTGCAGTGAGTGGATTGCCTGAGCCCGCGGGGTCGAGACCCACCTGGGCAACTTGGCGAGACTTCATCTCTACAATAAATCAAAAAATTAGCCAGGCGTGGTAGCGCACACCTGTAGTTCCAGCTACTTGGTAGGCTG